GCCAGCATTTGTTATTGGTTGATTTCTTGATAGCAGCCAATCTTTGTGGGGTGAGGTGGAATCTCAGCATTGTTTTCATCTGCATCTCTCCAATGACTAGTCACGTTGAACATTTTTTCATATATTTGTCTGCTGCTTTTACTTCTTTGTCTGAGAAATGTCTGTTCATTTCAGATGCCCATTTTTGAATTGGGTCTTTGAATTTGGGGGGTCTGGTTTTTTATTCTAGATAGTAGTGCTTTGTCTGAGGTACAGCTGCTAAAAATTTTTTCCCATATTGTAGGTTGTCTGTTAGCTCTGTTGGTGGTTTCTTTTCTTTTCTTTTTTTTTTTTGGATCTGCAAATACAGTTTATTTTACAGAAATTCAACATTATAAACAGCAGGCACCTCCCACCCGCCCGCCCCGCTGGGCACAGGGCATTCTGTGGGAGCGTGAGCAGCGATGCAGCCGACTGCTTTGGAGTGAGATTCGAGCGGGCAGCTGCCGGCACTGTCCTGCCTGCCCCGCACACACACGCAGGCCATCAGAGTCTATCTGGGCCCAGTTGCTCTGGGCCAATTATATGGATCCAGCCCAGTTCTCCAACTCCTTCATGTTTTCGTCTTCCTCTTCCTTCTTCTTGGTGGGTTTGGATGGTAGGGCTATCGAGGGAACATTTGGTAGAGGAACTGTTTCAGGTCCACTAATCTCCAGCAAATTCTTGTCTAGCTCCTCCTGTTCTGGCTCTTCTAATTCCGCCATGAGCTCATCCTCATCAAACTCTTCTGCAAAACCTACAGGTTTGGAAATAGCTGTTGAAATCTCCTCTGCAAGTTCTTGCTGGTCAGCAATATCCTGCATTAACTCATCAACTTTATCGATGTCCATATTGTCGTGCGCTGCCTTCATGGCCTTCACTGGCGGCGTGGCCCATGTTCTTGAGCACCTCCGTGTTGGTGTGGGCGTTCTCCAGGGCCTCCCGCTGGAACTCGGTGGTGGACAGTGTGGCATCGATCTGCGCCAGCGGCTTCTCACGCCTCTTCTTGCTCTTCAGTGCCTGAAGGGCCGCGCGCTTGTTTTTGGTTCCGTGTTTCTCGGCGGGCGTCCATTCCTGCTCGGTCTTCTTCTCCAGGAACTCCTGTTTCTTGCTTAGCATCTCCTCCGTGTCCCGCAGCCGCTGGATGGCCTCCTGGGGGTCGGGTCGCCCTTGCCGGCCTTAGCCCCTCCAGTCCCGAACAGCTTTCCGAACACCGACACGGCTTCTCGCCGCCTCCGCCGCCCGTCGGCCCTGCCGCTCCCTGCCACCGAGGGCCTCTCGTACACCTCCTCTCCGAAGTTGGGCCAGGCCGCGCCACCACCCACGGGCCCCCACGCCCAGCCCTGCAGGCATCAGGGCAACGCGCCTCTGACCACAGCTCACAGCGGGCCGTTGGTGGTTTCTTTTGCAGTGCAGAAGCTTTTTAATAAAATGAGATCCCAGTTGTTCATTCTTTGTGCTAGTTCCCTGCTGCTGGGGTTTTGTTCATAAAGTCTTTTCCTATGCCAATGTCTTCAAGAGTTCTACCT